GGGGGGGGGGAGAAATCAAGATTTAGAGTGAACTTGAAAACCAAGTTTAAAAAAAGCATATGTTCTTATTCTATCATGCTTTTTAATTGCTGCCATGCTCAAGAAATCGGTCTCATGGTTGTCTCGCTGTTGGACGCTAAACTGGAAAGTCTCCTCATCTCCCATGCAGTAAGCTATAGAGAGTTTCATTTGTGGTGTTTGTACTATGGGACTTATAGTCTGCAATGCAAGCAGCACACAGAAGACATGTTAAATGGGAAGACGGTACATTCCACATTATCTAAAATGAGGGTTTGGGGAAGAAGAAGCAGGACTGTGTATACTGATTTTTTTTTGCTTCTAATGTAGCTGAATTTCCATAAGAGAGTTGTATAGCAAGACCTGAGTCACTATAAGCAACCACCGGGGTATACATTACTTACCCTGGCCATTTCTGGTGCAGGAGTGTTCCTATACTTTTCCCCAATTGGCTATACAGTCATGGTTTACCTAGTCTTAAAAAGGGATTTGCCTCAAAGCGAGCCATGATAGACTAGGCATAATCTCTGGCTCTTCTGGAAAAAAGAAGGTGCTGAAGACTAAGATATAGGCTTGGTGTCATTCCACACAGTGTAGAAGTTCTGTATTAATTATGCTAGGATAATGCCTCAAAACCAGAGACAGAACCAGCAGTGCTATGTTCATCACAGTACTGTAAAAAACTGAGTGAAAGTTGATTGGCACCTCTGGATAACCCCTCCCCCCTTTTAGCTCTTCCTTGCTCAGGACTGCTAAGCAAGAGTTTCTTTACTCATGCCCTGAAGTGTATTTTACTGAGGGTTTAGAGGTCTCATCTTAGATGCAGAATTTCAATAGAGTTTACCTCACCTCAAAGTAGCAAGTGCCTCAGAGCATCTGGTCACATCCTACATAACTGACATAGCTTAGTGCTTTGCAGGGATCAACACATAACTCCAACCAAATCCAGCACTGTGTGCTAGAGAGCCTGGCATTGATGCAGATTGGTCTATACTACTAATTTATGCCAGAATGGTTACATTTCTCAGGGAGATGGAAACCCCACACCTCTGGGCAACGCAATTATAATGACCTAACTCCCGGCTTAGACTGGCTTCTCCATGGACATACTCCACCTCCCCAAGAGGTGGACAACTGGAAAAGCACTTGTCAGCCTAGTTATAGTCTTCATAGAGTACTGTAGCAGTGCCCTGCAGGGCTATAAGCTTAGATGTACCCTTGCCCAAGCCATGGCCTCTGATCAATGCATTCCAGAAGCATTAGACCCTCTGTGCCGATTTTACTGGTCTACAATTTTTTAGAAGTCGTCTGCTTCGGAGATAAAATGTGTTATTTATTATGGATTTTGATGTACTGAATTAAAATATGACAATTAAAACAACTGATTGGCTGTTTCCAAGATATTTAAGTTTTTACATCTATGTATATTGTGTAGATAGTTTTAATCATAAATTGTAAACCTAGGTCTTATCATGTAAAGCAACCATTAACACATGAAAATATTTCACCTGTCCTGTTCATGTAACACTTTAAAAAAAATCAGCAAAAGGGTTATATAAATAATAATGAAATAAGGCAAAAAACTATTATGTACATAGTTTAGTCCTATTCAGTGTCTACTTGGCGCTTCTTGGCTTGTCTCTTGTATTTATTAAATGGAGCATCTCTTGTCACTGTCCAGCAATAGTCTGCAAGCATCGATGGGCTCCATTTGCCCGGATAGCATTTCTCCATTGTTGCAATGTCCTGGTGAAATCACTCGCCGTGCTCGCTCACTGCTCCGCAGTTTGGTGGAGGAAAAAAAAAAAAATCTAGATGAGAGTGCAAAAAAATGTATCTTTAGTGACATGTTGCAACCAAGGCTTTTGTAGGCCTTGAGGAGGTTTTCCCACCAACAACCTGTAGTTGTTGTCTGCCTTGTTGTTTCTGAGAAAATTTATTGCCACTAACTGGAAGGCTTTCCATGCTGTTTTTTCCTTGCCACACAGTGCACGGTCAAATGCATCATCTCGAAGAAGTTCACAAATCTGAGGACCAACAAAGACACCTTCATCTTAGCTTCACTTAACTTTGGAAATTTTCCATGGAGGTACTTGAAAACTGCTTGTGTTTTGTCCATGGCCATGACAAAGTTCTTCATCAGACCCAGCTTGATGTGTAAGGGGGGTAACAATATCTTCCTTGATTCAACAAGTGGTGGACGCTGAACACTTTTCCTCCCAGGCTCCAATGACTGTCGGAGTGGCCAATCTGTCTTGATGTAGTGGGAATCTCTTGCACTACTGTAGCCAGACCTGAACCCCCATTTTAACATCCATTTTTGTCTGCCTGAAAGCATGCAGGGCACACAAAGCAGAAAAACAGCATGATCTTTGAAAACCTTGGAGCAGGAGGTTCAGATATGCTGGCTCAGTGACCATGGACAACTGTAAGCAGAGATAAGAGGGTGGTCAAACTAAGAGGCTGCACAAAAGTGCCCTTGACTTAATCCATATTGATACGAACACACAGCAGTTCGCAGGGGGAGGAATCTCCCACCCAACAAGAATATCCGGCACTCCTAATTTAGCTATCTTCCTCTCTTACAAGTGTAAATTAACTTGAAATTTGTTTTTAAGAACTGGTGCCACAAAACGGACCAGTACAATTTGGCCTCTTAAGATAAGAAAGAGAATACGGGCCCCCAGGGGTATAAAGATGAGTCCAGCAGCACACCTACTCTGTGTGTCAATCTACCACCTATCTGCTGGTCGGGTTTGGTGTTTGACCTCCCGAGGTTCCAGAGGGGACGCCCACCTCGTATTCGTCTTTCCGAGGAATTGAGGGACCGACCCTGGCCTGACACGCTGGAGTCGAGAGGCACAGAAGGGGGTAAAAATTTTACCTGGATGTGGTCCTTTAAGTATATATATATATATACACACACACACATACACACACACATACACACACACATACATACACACACAGCCCTGACCATCGGCTGACAACGACTATCCCATTCGCAGAGAAAACAGCGGTTCTTTGTGTATCCAGTCTGCAGACCAAGCAAGAGAGCAACAACCCTCAAATCACCACAAAGCTGCCACTGATGTTGGTCATAGTTTATGCACCTCAAAAGTTGTTTCATGTTGTCATAGGTTTCCTTCATATGGACTTCATGACCAACTGGAATTGATGGCAAAACATTGCCATTATGCAGCAAAACAGCTTTAAGACTCGTCTTCGATGAATCAATGAACAGTCTCCATTCATCTGGATCGTGAACGATGTTGAGGGCTGCCATTGCACCATCGATGTTGTTGCAGGCTACAAGAAAACCTTCCATGAAGAAGAATGGGACAAGATCCTTTTGACGGTCACGGAACATGGAAACCCTATCACCACCTGCCAGGAGATTCCACTGCTGTAGTCTGGAGCCCAACAGCTCTGCCTTACTCTGAGTAGTTCCAAATCCCTGACAAGGTCATTCAGTTCACCTTGTGTTAGGAGGTGTGGTTCAGAGGAGGAGGATGGGAGAAAATGTGGGTCCTGTGACATTGATGGTTCAGGACCAGAAGTTTCATCCTCTTCCTCGTCTGACTCACGTGAGAATGATTCTGGTGCAGCAGGAACCAGCAGTCCTTCTCTGTAGGATACTGGGTGTATAGCTGATGGAATGTTTGGATAATGCACAGTCCACTTTTTCTTCGACACACCTTTCACAACTGGAGGCACCATGCAGAAGTAGCAATTGCTGGTATGATCTGTTGGATCTCTCCAAATCATTGGCACTGCAAAAGGCATAGATTTCCTTTTCCTGGTAAAGCACTGGTGAAGATTTTTTCCACAAGTGTTGCAGCATATGTGTGGGGCCCACCTCTTGTCCTGATCTCCAATTTCGCAGCCAAAATAAAGGTGATGGGATTTCTTAACCATAGTGGTTATACTGCACTTTTGTGGTGCAAAAGTCACTTCACCACAAACATAGCAGAAGTTATCTGCACTGTTCACACAAGTACAAGGCATCTCTGCTCACTTTGGCTAAACAGAAATGTGTCCCTTTGCAAAATTAAATATTGACAAATAAGAGAGCACGACACTGTATGATTTCTAGAGCGGATATAGGGCAATTTGTTCAGCAGAGTGATGCAAGCTTCATTATGATTGCATCATCCATGACTTCTAGGAATAACATGATGAAATTCATATCATGTATGACGCAATACCAGCTTCAGATTGCATCCTTCATTGTTTTGCCTAAAAAGCAAGTACTGTCCAAACCCAGTCATAGATTTATTCATAGATCCAGTCAAAGATGTATTTTAGTCATTTCTGGTTTAAATTGAGATCCCTTACCTTTATAACTCACTTATCCTCCGCCATTCGCAAGTCAAGGGTTGTATATACTGACCCAATAGCATATCTTGAAAACTAGAGCCAATCAACAATTTTATGCATCATTTTAGTTCTCAGTGACCCAGAATTAGTAAAGTTTGGCTACATTTATTTCTGAAGCATTTTGGCTGTAGAGCAGCGTTTCCTATTGAATTTAATCCATTGACACTGGTGTTCAAGAGAGCCTCATGCCCTCTCCATGGACCCCAATGCTGTGAGACTGCTGGGTACAGATAATGATCAAGATATTTCTTAGAGGCCTTTAACTGCACACTTTTTGCAGGTACTTGCCTGTGTCTTTACCATAGTGAAAGAAGAGATGAAGATGGAAAAGAAATTCAATATGCACACCACCAAAACAGAATAGGATTTAAAAAAAACACATGGTTATGTGAAATTTTTTCTGAAGCATTTGTGTACGGTAAACTGAGGCAGTCCATGGTATCTTGCTGAGAACTGACAACTCAAATCCGAAATTATTAGGGTAGGCCTGGGAAGCACACAGACAGTTACCATGACTCTGGTTCCCCTGGCAACTACATTCCAAAAGGGCCTCACTCTGATAAGGCCTGGCTGGTACCAGCCAGGCTGTGAGATTTTCTCACTGTTTCCTTTAATTTCAGATTAATCAGCTTGGATCCCAAGGACTGTGCAAACACAAGGAAGGAGTCATCTCACAGTAGACATCACAATTTCAGCAACATAAATGATCAATTAGCCATTTTGGGGCTTCCATCCTGTTTATGTTGGCACATTTAGCTCATTAGGAATAACTACCTGTATTAGAAACAAAAAACAGGACTATGTAGCACTACATATGTAGCACTGCATACTACTATGTTTCAGCTACACCAGACTAACATGGCTACATTTCTATCACTATTCTACCTATATTAGTGATAACATGTTTAATTGGCAATGGGTGGAGATACTGTATAACTCTTGTAGTTCATTGCCTTATGTGCATCTCTTACTTCCACTGCTAGACCTATCAAATCACTTCTCCTCCGTCCATCTGCTACCTATATAATCTAGTGTAAGTTAATGCTCACCAGGCTAACCACCTGATGGGTACTCCACCAGCGCTGTGAACCAATAAATCCTCTGCTTGTTTTCACCTGCACCCAGTGTGTCCGGTATTATTCCCTACAGTTTGCTATTAGCCATTATCAGATGTAGGATGCCACACAACAAAGAGGTTGAATCTAGTGCAACTGACAATTACTGTGGTCTGGCTAACACCCTATATTGCCTGAGAGAGATGCTAACCCCCCAAAGCACAAACATTTCTAAAAATATTAACAAAAGCTACAGAAAAGGTTATGTAACAGATATAGTCTTGACAGAAGAAAGAGATAGTTGGTTTCAACTAGGGATATAAGTGACTAGTCAACTACCTGATAAGCATAGGCTTACGGGGTAGTCAAGTTAACTAGTCACTCCCCTGATACAGAGGCAGCAAGGGAAAGGAGCAGGAGCTGGGGGGGGAGCCAGCTTAAGAGCAGGTTCCCCCCAGCACGGTCTCTGCAGGGGACAGGGTGTATGGTAGGGGAAGCAAAGGCGGAGTGGGAAACTGTGCAAGTGGGTTCCCTGATGTGCCTCTGCCTTTGAAATGTAGCAAGAGCCACAGGCAGCTCTTGTTACTACATTTCAAAGGCAGAGCCACAGCCGGGATAGCAAGTGATTAATCAAAGCAATTAGCTGATCAATCAAAATTTAACATCCCTAGTTTCAACTACACCAAAACTCATGGTTTGCCAATACTGACGAGAGAGTCCTTATTCTCACAGGTAAGACAATGCTAATGGCTGGAAACTTCTAGTCTCTCTAACAGTTTAAGAGAGAAATCTCAGCAGTCACATCAGAGTGCAGATGTCAGGAGGAAATCTCACTATAGAGAACAGAGCAGTGCAACTAATGGTCACTTTACATTTAGTGTTTTGCTTTTTAGGATTTAACTGCCCATTGACATCCAGCAGCCTCTTTTCCAAAGCTTGTTTTTTCTGAAAATTAAGTTCTTCTTTTGACTTCTCTGGTTTCTTCGCTGTATAGAAAAAAAAAAAAAAGACAAAGTTACCCCCAAATCCAAAATAGATCTGGCTAAACATATTGTGTAGAGTTTATACACACCATGTTTTCTTCGTCTTTTCCTTAAACAAGCCATCACGTATTTCTCTAATTCTCTAAGCGTCGATGCTTTTAAAGTTTCAAAGTCTATTTCTATCTCATCAGGATTAGAGTTTCTCAGGGAAGGCTCTCTTGACTGTATTATATATACTACTTTTCCAAGCTTATCTCCAGGAAGTTTGTTTATGTCCAAACTCAACTGCCTTTTTTCATCATAATTCATAGGCTTGGCACTATCCTCATCTTCTGACTTATGTGTCAGTGACACTTGCTGCTTAGTTTTCTTTGACTGGCTACAAAAGAGAGAGTTTACTTCATTGAGAGCAATGTAAAATAGTTTGTCACCCACATAACTCTCACTTACGTGTTTAAAGACCATTTTTTCTTTGACTTTTTTTGTTTTAGCTTTTTCTTCTTTTGATTCACACATTTGTGTTTGGATTTTTCTCTGCCTCTTTCCTCCTTTTTAGACTTTCCTTTTTTCTTCCTCAGCTTGGGCAAGGTAGTTTTGGCCAAAGCCCTCAACTGTTGGTGAACAGCTTTAAGCTATGAAAGAAGAGAAGACACTAAGAATCTTGATAGTCATTACAGGAGAAAATATTAGGTAGGGAGAAACTGGTCCTGAAGGCTATGGGAGAGTTTTGGCAGGGATGGACAGAGTACTCAGTGGTATAACAAGAAAGTAGGACAGGATGAGAGGAGGTTTGGAAAATGGGAGCTTGCATTTAGGGAGTGGGGACATTTGTAACACATGCACAGAGAGAGAACTGCATTTTTTTCCTCCAAGTCTGGGAGGAGGATGGCAGGTCTTCCTTCCTGCAGGAGGATCCCAAAGCTCTTCTTTAGCATGAGGAACTTGGGGCTCAAGTGTCCCAGTGCACCACTTGCCCACCTCCAATGAGAAGGTTCTGTGCGAGGCAGTCTAGAGAGAATGGAGACAGAATCTTCTAAAATAGTTGGAACTTGTGTTAAGTCTTGGAATCTGGCTAGACCATTATCTTGAAACAAAGACAAAAAAGTGCTGACTTCATTATGATCATCTGAACTATAGAACACCTGCAGAGACACTCGTGTTTTGTCCAACAAAAAAAGGGACCAGTTCACATTAGGGAGATTAAGAAAGGAAAGGATGGTTAAGCTGCCTACATTGAGACGTGTACAGTGACCATATTTTTTAAACTAAAAATAGGGACACCTTAACCAGGCCCCTTAACACTGCTAGCTATGCCCCCTGGCCTGGTAGGCCCCACTCACCTGCCAGAGGAAGTCCCTCCCCTGGGAGTAGTACTTCTGGGGTCAAGACGTACATGTGACTGGAAATAAAGGGTGTCATGTGACTCCTCTGAACTCCTCCCACTGTCCTCTACCAATAGGGATGGGTTTGGGAACTATAGAAGCCCCCCATGCAACTATACTGCAATTACCTTAATCCTGATCCCAGACCTAGGGTCTCAGGACACTGCAGCACTAGGGGTCCAACCTTAATTCAAGATGAGATCAAGGATCTAAGGCCTATTATTTTTCAGTGTAGATGCAGCCTGGAAGTCATACAGAACTATCCCACAATTTTATGGACATCTTCCTTAGTCCTCTTAAAAGATTAAGCTTACCAATTCCAATTAACAGGTAATCAGAGGGGGCTGCAGATCTTGTGGTTTAGCCAAGGCAGTCTTTTGCCATATTTTCTATCTTTCCGACACAGCGGAATAGCTTGCTTTTGAGCCCTTAATGTACCTTTTAAAACCTGCCAACTCTCCTCAGTTGTTTTCCCCCTCAGTCTTGATTCCCCTGGGACCTTACCTATCAGCTCTCTGAGCTTACCAAAATCCACCTTCCTGAAATCCATTGTCTCTATTTTGCTGTTCTCCCTTCTGCCCTTCCTTAGAATTGTGAACTCTCTGATTTCATGATCACTTTCACCCAAGCTGCCTTCCACTTCCAAATTCTCAACCAGTTCCTCCCTATTCGTTAGGATCAAATCTAAAACAGCTTCCCCTCCCAGTAGCTTTTTCAAAAAAGTTGTCTCCAATGCAGTCCAAGAACTTATTGGCTAGTCTGTGCCCCGCTGTGTTATTTTCCCAACATATCTGAATAGTTATATTATATAAATAAAGGGTAGACTTATAATAGGAATGAAAGCATGAAGGAGTTTCAGTATTATGTTAAAGCAAAATGCAGGACATGTGATTTGTCCTTTTCATATTTGTTCATTTTTTTAAATTGTATCCTTTGGTATATATGGTTGTGACTACTTTCTTCCACTATTTGATCTGAGGAAGTGGGTCTGGCCCACGAAAGCTCATCAGCTAATAAACCATCTTGTTAGTCTTTAAAGTGCTACATTGTCCTGCATTTTGCTTCAACTACCCCAGACTAACACGGCTACATTTCTATCAGTATTATGTTAGGCATTTAAGAGTCCAAGTCAGTACTCTCAGAAAGTAGTTAACATAGGAGAGTGATAATTTGTGAAGTGAAGGATCTTTGAGAGAATCTAAAAAAGGCACATAAAAGCAGCAAGGGTATCCATGAAGAAAGAGTCCTGGGAAGGACACAGTTAAAAAAGGAAGGTGTAATTGAGTAGCCAGAGACAGAACCACAGCCCCATAAGGGTAGGAGAGCGAACAAAAGAAATTAAGTGACTGGTCTTAAATGTTAAGTGGCTACCTTTTCAGCTACTTAAGAGGTGCAAAGCACCCAATGGGATTAGTGCTTCAGAACAAGGCTATACCAACTGCATTTAGGCACTGGTGGAAGTTTTAGCCAATGCATTTAAAAACAGGTAGCAGATGCTATACAACATCTGCCTACTCAAGGCTCTGAAGCCACTGCCAGTATGTAGAAAGTGAAGCCTGCTGTTAGAGAATTTGTCATTTCCCACAGTGTAACCACAGCTCAGTAGGCTACCACTCAGGAAAAGAATTCTGAATGCACACTTTTGTATACACATTTAAAACATTTACAGACAGCTCCTGGTTCTAGAATGGAAGAGATGTGTGAATGAGCCATCTAAAGCTGTAATAGTCATGTACTTTGCAGAGCACTGCTGCTTACCTGCTCCTGAAGCTTTGCAAGGCGCCTTGCTCTTTCCTCTTCTGAATCTTCAGATCTTTCTTCAGAGGAGTCATCACTGCTGCTTTCACTAGAAAGAGTGCTTGCTATTTCTGTTCTGGGCTGTGACTTGGGTTCATCTGGAATTTTGGCAAATTGCATCTCAAAGATATCCTAAAAAAATAAAAAGTTATGAAAGAGGTTGCAAAGGAGAGTAAAAGAATTTCACAACCTATAATACCCTTTTTATTGATCTAGATGTCATAGGAGTGATTACAGATCACCTAGCATCCAATGATTGCTCCTCTCTTACAAGGTAATTCTCCAAGAGCTTACCAGAACCGCTGCACAGTGGGAACCTTAGGTAATTCAGTTTCATTTTTTAAGTGGTAACTCACCTGCAGTTTTCTTGCCATAGCAACCACTTCATGGTCAGGAGAGTTGTACTTGTAGCAATTTATAAACATCAATCTAATGTCTGCAGCAAACTCTTGTATATCTTTATATTCATAATTATCCATTTTCTTCTATGGATAACAGAAAAATGAAGATGCATTTTAGATTGTGTAAGTTTTAAGCTACAGAGTATTTATGTAGAACTTCTGCCAAAAATACAGAAGTTGAGGAAGGGAAACTCCCAGCATCAGAATAAATATGGGACAGTAAGGTTACCCTATTGCAGAAGCTCCAAAACCATTATTTAAAACACAGACGCAACGGAGGAGACTCTAGTATGTATGTTCTAAGTATCTACTGTCAGCAATATAACTTTATTGAAATAAAGCTATGGATAATAACAGGTTTGAATAACTAAACTGTCTGCTATACAGCTAAAAACCTTTACTAATGTTTAGTTACAGATTACAAGGAATCTGCATTTATTCTACATGAGTCTCTTCTTTAATTTAATTTGTACTGTAACTCAAATAGAGGACTGAAATACTCTTAAGTCAATACAGGACAAAGATTTTGAAAGTTAAAGGATAAATATGAGCACTTAAAGTTGAGTTTCCAGATCCTAATTTAGCTATCTAAATAAATGGCCTAATTTGCAAAAGAACTGACAGCTTCACTGAAGTCAATTGGAGACATTAGGTGCTCAGTTTTTCTAAAGCCACTTCTTTAGGTACCTTAATTAGATCTGGGAACCCAGCATTAGGAATCAACATTTTACAAAGTTAAGTATCCATTTTGTCAGTCATTGGCTACACTATCTTAAGGACTTATTTCTTATAATGGAGACAAAAGATGAATTATGGCCCTATCACTGAAGGCAGGGAAACAGTTAAGTTTATGCCAAGGTAGGGCGCTCACACGGTTGAGACATTTTGGTTTGAGGTTTCAGATGGCATCATGAGACTGAGCCTTGAATGACTATAGTGATGCTTAAGTACTGGGAAAGTGTTAGAGACCATCACTTGTTTATATACTAAACTGTCAGCATATATAAAAAGCAACCCAAAATGTACTTTGACATGTGCTCAAATGGGTTTATAACAGAAACAGACTAGAAACTTAAAAAGGTTGTTCCACAACTACAAGTGGGCTTAAGACTTTAACTCAAGCAAGCTACTAATTTGAGATTGCTTGCTGTAGGTGCAGTGCAATAAACTCATTACTTTACCATTTAATCGATAACTGGAAATTTAAAAAAACCCATAGGATACTATATACAGCAAGATATGAAGTCTTTATGCTGATTTTCTTTAAACAGAGTCTTCATGATCTTTTCAGGTTCCATTTAAAAAGGTATTTAATTTAGGACTTAAATTCCCTAAATATGAGAATAAATCATTTGTGAATCTAGCTAAGACTCCTTACCTTAATAGTTATCAGGTCTATAGGGCATTTCATAGCATCGGGGTGGTCATTGAGCCCCGAAGCGCTAATGTCTACAGATTTGTAGAAAGGCCAAGCATATGATGCATGTTTCTTTGCAAACATTTCTTTAAGGATATCACTGCAATGCTTTAGTTGTTCTGATAATTCAACATTTTTGGCAGCTTCAGGTGGCTGTTGAGAATCTGGTAAATCTTTTTTTGGATGACTTTCTGGTAGACTACGTTTACTTTCTTCTCTACATAATATTTTAGCAACTTTGGGATCATTAAGTGCTGGAGAGGACTCAGAGCTTCCTGTGAATATTGTAGTAGTATCAGCCTTCCTTTTCACACCATTTTTAACCTAGAAAAAAAATTACAGAGAATATTTCAACTGACTAGAATGGCACAATTCCAGTATAAAACAGCAACAGAGAAATGTGTAGTTTTTGAAAGAAAAGCTTCTGCATTTTTTCCTTCAGAAGTGAAGGACTCATTAATATAAAACTGCAAATTATTACAATCTAGCATCCGGTTTAAGGTTGTCTCCTTTAGAGCTGGAAGGAAAGCGTACTACAGTTTAATCTGTTACTTATCTATGGTAAAATTTCGAAAAAATCATCAAGTTCACATAAAAGTCACAAGTGAATAGGTAGATTGCTTCACTCTAATATTGAGTCTTAATTTGAGGCCATTCTTGGCAAGTGTGGAGAGAAGGGGAGTGGGCAAGTTCACCTGTTACTGGGAGCCCAGACACCGAAGCCTCTAGAAGCAGCCTCCCTTTATCTCTTCCCTCCTTTCTGTTTTCCTGAGCCACTTCCTGTTGTAGCCCCTAACACCGTCCCTGCCCTTGCCTCTGGACACTTGTCCACCAGTTCCCTAACTGCCCACCACGGCTGCCTCTACTGGCATCTAGTTCCATTTCCCTGGGCTCTGAGTTCCCCACAACCTGCTGCTTCTTTTATACAGAGCTTGCTTGGCTCCGATTGGCTGTTCCTCAGGTCTGACCCCTATTGGCTTCCTGCAGTACAGCCTCCCTAGAGCTGCGATTAACCCTTGAAGGGCCAGTGCAGGGCAGATGCCCCATTACAGATCCTCCCTATACATGGAAAAAAAAAAAACTTAAATAATGAATAGTCTTGCAGCACCTTAGAGATATTAAAAAAAAAAAATCAACCTACTTTCATCTAGAAGCCATTATTTAAGAGGTAACTTACTTTTGTTACAGGTAGCGTGGCTGCCATTAAGGTAGTTGACTGAGCCATTGACTGAGGGGCTAGCACAGCCTGCTGTGGTAGTGGAGTCATTGCATGAGGCTGCTTAGCAATGCTTTCAAGTTGCTTCTGCAGTTGATTTTGCTTAGTGGTACAAACATCTATGTCAGGCTGCTGAGCTCCTATTAAAAAAAAAAAAAATCAACCCACTTTACATGGAGATGTATATTTTGGTGCCCCAACAATTCCAGTTTTATGTTCTTACAGAAGAGATCTCCAACGTCATCTAGTCCTGTCTCCTGTTAATGCAGGCATCCCACCCATAATCTCATAGGATTAATGTATCAAACGGTCTTCACATTACTGCCATAACACTTCCTTTCACAAAGCTCCTATTCAGAGCCCCAAAGGGTACATTGTCTAATTTTCAGTTGGCCAGACACTTACTTGCAATTGGCGTTTTCTGAAGCCATGAATAAGTGCAACAATTACCATTCTTGCATCCATGCCTCTAATGGAAGCCCTGGTGGGGATTTGCTTAGTTCAGATCTGAAGGCTAGTTCATCAGCAGACCCATAGTGCCCTCAAGAGTCCTCAGCCAAATTAATGCCTTGGCAAAAAATCTGAACAAGTTATCTTTGAAAGCAATAGTTAGAGGTATATTATCTTTTCAGGTCCCTATTCTCAGAAAGGGAATTTCTCCATTTTGAGCTAAAAAATGGAAATAGAAGTAGTACCGAACATAGAAAGAATGACAATACACATCCTCTCTATTAATATTAAGTTCTATTAAGAGCTCCATATTCTAAAGACTAGTTTACCAATTTGGAGAAGAGCTTAGTCACTCAACTTGGAAAAATGGTTCCGCAAGTTAATAATTAACTTGAGCCAAGCAGTGATTTATAATTATGTACCTAGAACTGTGGAAGGAAACACACCTTTAATGTGACCCTTCTTAAAAAAAAAAAAACCCACACACCAAAGGCCTGCCAGAGATGTGACAATAAAATATTCACTCGGACAAACATTAAGGTATGGTTTTCAGACATATTCTGTAGTAATTGGCAAGAAAGGTCAAGTAGCTTATCACATGACATTAGTTATTTCACATGAAATCCTTAATTTTAAACAAACTGTAGAAGAGAACCTCCATGGGATGGGGATACAGGTGTACGAATAATATTGAAATTGTAGCTTGACACCACCGCTCTGAAAGTAGTAAGATGTATTTATAATATCACTCCATTGATGAAGAATTTAATATAAGATGGAATCATTTATGTACACAAAATAGTGCAGGAATATGAGTCAATCTTCTCCAATAGGATGGAAACAAAAGCTGGAATTATCCCTAGAAGCCAACTTTCTTCCTAGCCACCACTAGTATAGACTGCCAAGATAGCGAGACTACTGCCAACAATGGTGATTTTTCACTGCTACCCTAGTCCTATCTAAGCATTTCAAGATGCCCTACTCATAGGCCTGTTGACAGGAGGGGAGAGGGAGTCATGAAAGACAGTTGCTCTGCTCGAGTCCAGAGATTCAAAAGCATCCAGGGTTCCTGACTGCTGCAGTGGCCAGAGCCTTTAAATAGTCAGAGTGCTGTGTGGTATGCTCCAGGTGGCCAAGGTGAGCACCATATGCACTGAGTGGCCAAGGGTGGGGGCAGGTGGATCTGGTGCTTGTGGGGAGCCTGCTTAAAGCTAGCTCCGAATGGGGACAGCCTCCTGCATCCCCCCCCCCCCCCCCCCCCCCCACTTTGCCTAAGGGCCCAGCAAGTCTGTTGGCCTCCCTGGCTATTCAGTACCAAAAATCAGAATAAGCTATTCTTAAAGAGAAACTAACCTTTTTCTTAGGGAAGTTCATAGAGGAACAAGAATCACTGGTTATCTTTCTATCCAGCTAAGATGAAAACAAGAATAAAAAATAATAATCCTGAATGGCATCCCTACCTGATGCCCCCTTTTTGTAAGGCAGGGGCAGATCAATGCTGATGCTATCATACTTGCTTGGGCAGCATTAACTCCATTTGTAGCAAGTTCATCAGTGTCCTCAGCACAAGTGGGAGAGAAATGTACCATAAAGTTTACATATCTAAGTGTTCCAAGGACACTTAGTATCTAGGTTAGGTGATAGCCAAGCGTGGTGGCACATACATTTGGGGAAGCGGAGAAGTGTGGCATCCATGTAGACACTCAATGTAGTGAAGCAAAACAATGGATCTTTACATGAGGCTTTAAAGACACCACAGGGGTGCTTAGAGTCAATTCTTGGAATGGGCATATAGGGCAGTCACCTTGGACATGCCAAAATGCAGTGCTACTTGTGGGGGGTTTTTTTGGGCTGTGCTCCCAATTAGCTTGACCTTTTCATTTTTGGCTCAGCTGCTCAAGGGGTAGGTTGCAACAGGGCCAGGCATTAGAACAGCTAGGTCCTCTCTTTGGAATATTTCTCAGAAATACCCGAGAAAAAAGGAAAGACTGGGAAAAACTCAAGTCTTACTCCTTTGAAAAGGAAAGCAAAGTGTTTGACAGAAGACTAGTTTTCGACCATGGAGCCATGAGGCCTACC